GGTTATTTTAGAGAGAGAGATTTATATCTTTTTACCATGCATTATCTCGATACCTTATTTGTAACTATAGTTATATAATCTAGATACTTTATGTCTGAAGAAGTTTGGTGTAGCGACAGATGGAGACTACATTGAAATTTTTTTTCAAAGGGATATTTAAAAGGTAAAATATCTTTATAGCCTTTATTTTTAAGTAACATTTTTTAATAAACCATGTTTTAAAACTAACTTTAGTCCCATTAAACCTATTTTTTAGCCCAAACAAATATAACAAAGACATGCTCTTTAAACTCATCATTTCTCTCTCTTCATATTCTCTAAACTTCTCTTTCTCTCTCAGGTTTGACTTTCCCCAAACCCCTTCTCTATCTGTATTTTCCTTCATTCTCTCTCCCAGTGTTTCCCAACCCTTCTCTCACTCTAAATTTCAGACTGAATTTCATCCCTCTCTAAATTTCAGACAAAATTTCATTGCTTCATCTCTCTCTAAATTTCAGTCTAAATTTCATGGCTATTGGAACCCACATAATTTTTTGTTCAACTCGCTCTATTTTCAGGTATATAGCTCTCTCTCTTGCACCGGCAAATAATTTATGAGTTCTCTTCCTTTCCCAATATACTCTTTATTGCATACATCCACATTAGAAAACGTTCAAAATTGAAGATAAAGCAGCTCTAAAACGTCCAAAGATATTACAAGAGAATCAAAGATGGAAGAGTAGGAACACAAAATGGCAAGACTTAGAGGTTCTCTACGCAATTAGAAGCTCTCAACAATAACAACAACAATCTTATTCCTAACTCTAATACCAATATCACTAACACTACCATTACCAATAACAATACGACTGAGTTGATAGCCAAAATTTTTGTCGAAAATCAAATTCCGGCCGTCCAAAATACTTTCTCCAGTGATTTTCTAGTCAACCAAAGTGGACGAATAAGCTTCTATTCGGGCTCATCATTAGATTTTGGCAAAAAAAACTCGATTTGTGGCAATACCCACAAGCGAAAATACAAGGAGATGATGGTATTTTTCAGAACCTCATGAAGCAGGGGATAGAGAAGCAACAGGGGAATTGCAACAGAAGTTTTGTGGACAAAAGAGAAGAGAGTGGAACAGAGGGTTATGAGAGAGGAAGCTTGGAAGAGTCAGGAGATGGCTAGGGTTAGTAATAGCTCATCAGAGGGCATTATTAGCTTCCAAAGATGCAGCCGCTATTACATTTTTGCAAAAGTTCTTTGACCAAAATGTACAGATTCCGACATGTTTTCTGGCAAGTGTTCCCACGGAAAATCTCGGTAATGCAAGAGACACGGAGAGAGAGAGAATGGGGAAAATACTACGAGAGAGAAGGGATTGGGGAGAGTCAATGGGAGAGAGAGATTAGGGGTGTTTCCAAGGCAAATCTCAGTTACGCAAAGGATATGGAGAGAGAGAATGGGAAAATGTAGAGAGAGAGAGAGAGTAGTTAGGGAAGAGTCGTGGAGAGAGAAGTAAGAGATATCACGTAGAAGAGAGAAGAAGTAGGTAAGGTTAAAGAAAAATAGTGTTACTTTTACGAGTATTTGTTAGGTAAATAAAAAGTAGTAACTAAAGTAAGTAAAGTTAGGTTTAGGGGTTAAGAAGTATAAGTAAGACTATAACTAACTTCTATCGAACAAAGTAGTTAGGTTTACGTAACGTTTGGTACTTAAGTAAAGTAAGTAGAACGTAACT